AGTCATGAATATTGGTCACTAGGTCGTTTCTTATAGACCTAAGAAATGCCAGGCTAATAGGAGCCCGTCAAATTGTTTTTACAAAATCAGCATGTACTGGTGCACAAAAAAAGTGGATATAACCACAAATACGTGTTGTATGATCTCGAAACGCAATAAATGAACTCGAAAGTCATGGCGAAGCAATGAGTATTGGTCACTAGGCCGTTTCCTATGGACCTACAAAATTTCAAGCCAATCAAAGTTGGTCAAAATTCTTTTACAAAATCAACATGTACTAATACACACAAAAAAGTGGATATAATCATAAATTTATGTTGCATGACCTCAAAACGCTATAAAATAAACTCAAAAGTCATGGAGAAGAAATGAGTATTGGTCACTAGGCCATTTTTTATGGACCAACAAAATTTCACGCCAATTAGACTCCGTCAAAATTTTTTTATAGAATCAACACGTACTAATATACGCAGAAAAAAATGATATAATCATAAATTCATATTGTATGACCTCAAAACGCCACAAAATAAACTCGAAAGTCATGGAGAAGCAATGAGTATTGATCACTGGGTCGGTTTCTATGGACCAACAAAATCCTGGGCCAATAAGAGTCCGCCAAAAAAAATCTACAAAATCAGCATGTACTAATACACACGAAAAAAGTGGATATAATCATAAATTCGTATTGCATGACCTGGAAACCCCATAAAATGTACTCGAAAGTTATGACAAAGATATGAGTATTCGTTGCTAGTTCGTTTCCTATGGACCTACGAAATATCAGGCCAGTCAGAGGCCGCCAAAATGATTCTACAAAATCAACATGTACTAATACACACAAAAAAGTCGACATAATCATAAATTCATTTTGCATGACCTCTAAACGCCATAAAATGAACTCGAAAGTCTTGGTGAAGCAATAAGTATTGGTCACTAGACCATTTTCTATGGATCTACGAAATTTCTCGCCAGTCAGAGTCCGTCAAAAAAATTCTACAAAGTTAGCATGTACTAATACACACGAAAAATGAATATAATCATAAATTCGTATTGCATGACCTCAAAGCCCCATAAAATGAACTCGAAAGACATGGCAAAGCAATGAGTATTGGTCACTAGGCCGTTTTCTATGGACCTACAGAATTTCAGTTCAATCAGATTCCGTTAGAATAATTTTACAAAGTCAACATGTACTAATACATACGAAAAAGTGGATATAGTCATAAATTCGTTTTGCATGACCTAGAAACATCAAAAAATGAATCTGAAATACCAAAAGCAACATTAATCGTGGCAAAATAATCAGTATTAGTCTGTAGGTCGTTTCCTATGGACTTGAAATTTCAGGCCAATCGGAGCCGTCAAAAAACTTCTACAAAATTAGCATGTACTAATAGACATGTAAATGTGGATATAATCACAAATTCGTGTTGGATGACCTCGAATTGCCACAAAATAAACTCGAAAATTATGGCGAAGTAATGAGTATTGGTTACCAGGCCGTTTTCTATGGACCTACAAAATTTCAGGCCAATCAGAGTCCGTAAAAAAATTCTACAAAATCAACATATACTAATACACACGAAAGTGGATGTAATCATAAATTCGTGTTGCATGACCTCGAAACACCATAAAATGAACTTGAAAGTCATGATGAAGCAATGAGTACTGGCTAATGGGCCATTTCCTACGGACCTACAAAGTTTTAGGCCAATCAGAGTCCGTCAAAATATTTTTACAAAATCAGTATGTACTAATACACACGAAAAAGTAGATATATCATAATTCGTGTTCCATGATTTCGAAATGCCATAAAATGATCTTGAAAATCATGGCGAAGCAATGAGTATTAGTTACTAAACCGTTTCTTATGGACCTACGAAATATCAGACCAATCAGAACCCCTCAAAAAAATTCTACAAAATTAGCATATACTAATACATACGATAAAGTTGATATAATCAAAAATCTGTGTTGCATGACCTCGAAACCCCATAAAATGAACTAGAAAATCATGGCAAAGCAATGAGTATTGGTCACTAGTCCGTTTCCTATGGAACTACAAAATTTCAGGCCAATCAGAGTCCGCCAAAAAGATTCTACAAAATCAACATGTACTAAGTACACGAAAAAGTGGATATAATCATAAATTTGTATTGCATGATCTCGAAATCCCATAAAATAAGCTCAAAAGTCATGGCAAAGCAATCAATATTTATCACTTGACCGTTTTCTATGGACCTTTAAGTATTAAACTTAAATATTGCTTCAACGATATAATAGAATAATATACAAAACGCTACGTTATGGAATGATGTGAAACGATAATTCAAGCATGATTTAGTAGAGTAATCACGCTACAGATAAAAAGTGTTTAAAGTTTTGGAGCATGAGCTAACTGGAACGCAATTTTTTTGTCTTGGTTAGTTAACAAATTAAGTTTATTAATCAACTAATCTGTAATAGCCTAAGCAAAAGGATTATGTGAATCATACACGCACGACTTGAATCATTATTGGGTTAAACTCGCAGATCTCTAGGATTGCCCAGGTTTTAAATGATGTAATTAGCACGAATTTGGAGCAAAACTTCCGATGAATCCCTCCTATCTGATACAATAGCTTCTATACAACAATTGATACCACATGATACAATTTGACTTCTTACTAAAATAAGAATTAAAGATCACATGGTATCAATTTATGAATAAGAAAGACAACCATGATGCACAGTGTGACTTATCACATGGTATTACTTGCATTCGAGCAATTAATACACATGATGCACAGTTTGACTTATTACAAAAAAAACGGGAAAAGGTCAAAACTGCCATTAAACTATTGGAAATAAAACAAAATGCTATCAGTTTTACGTTTAGTCCAAAAAAGTCCCTGAACTTTAGAAATAGGATTAAAATGCTATTATCGTTAGCAATTAGCAAACTAGCCCATTATGCCCCTTTCCGTTAATGGATTCCACCTTATATTAAAAATAAAAATAAAAAAAGGGCTGCAAGGCCACTTATTTCTTATTAGAAAGATGTACTTTTTTGTTTTTGAGATTTCTTCTCCATAGAACATTAGAGCAAAATATGTGTGACCAAATTGTTACTCCTAATAAAGTGGAATAAAAATTCAGAGAAACGAATTCAAATCTCAAACGGAGTCAAAAGGGTGAGTTTTATCTGCTTATCCATCTAGTTTTTGTAGAATAGAGTAATTTAATATATGTATCAGTGGAAGGTATGAGGTACTCATAAAATAGTTGAGTCGCATGTAAATTAATTCATATTGTGAAATCATTGATCAAAAGTTCATCATATGCGTCCACCGTCCCGCTCCTTTTCACCCGCCGTGACCACAAAAGAATTTTAAAGTCCGTTACCACCCAAGCAAGAAATTAAACTCAAAGACAATAATACAAGAAAGAGTAACAAATTTGAAATCATTGAACAATGTCTTAAATACTTTTCTCTTTCTTATTCAGCAAGCAAAGCTTCCTAAGTTCCTCCAAAGCTTCTTGGTCAATCTCTTTTTCTTCCTTTATTCTTATTTTCTCGATTGCTCAATTCCTTTGATTTCTCCCTCAGTTCTTCTCCCCGTCTTCTTCTCCGTTATAACATTTTGTTAGAATATAAAGGTCCACCAAACTCTATAGAGAACCAGGTTCTTTGTCAGGTTCTACAGAACACATACACTGTAGTAAATAATTGACATATGACTTTTACGTGGAAAATTCCCAGCTCAATGGGATTAAAAACCAAGACCTGCCCTTGTAGGAATTCAACTTCACTACTGAGCAACTTTTAGATTACAACTTATGCAACCTAGGAATTAACCTCTTAATCCCTCACTAACTTGTAATACTCTATTACAAGCGTAATAACTCTATTACAAAGACTTTACAACTCAACTAACTCTAGCCAAGACTAAAACACACAGGTTTAAGATTTACAAAGAGTTTCCTACACAATGCTTCTAAACAAGATAAGTAGGAAATACACTTGAAGAACTATTACAAAGTTACAACTCAACTAAGGACATACAATGACTTGATGTGGGAACTGGTCTGCAGTTATTTTTTTCTTCGTTCTTGAAGCACTTGAAACTAGCTTGCTGGATGGTCACGTGAGTGAGCTTGAGTGAAATTTATAAGTGTTCAAGTGAATGTGTTCTACCTCCCTTGATGTTAATAATACATGTGTGATCTCACATACAATGATGTAAGAAAGGTAGGCAAAAAGCCTTCCACAGAAAGTTGACTGTTGCACTATTCTTGTACTGTAGCTTGTACAGGCAGCAACTTTCCAGCTGGAGAGTTGACTTCGTGCAGTCACCTATGGAACTGGTAGGGACCTGTTCCCTCAGCTGTTCCTTCTACTCAGAAGAGTTGAGCCATATCCCAAGCTGGAACCTTGTGATCTTAAGGTCTTGTAAATGTGTAACAGTTCCTTATCTGGTTCTTGATAGTAAGTTTGTTAGATCATCAAAATATAAAACAAGTACTTATGACCAAGATACGTGTAACCTGTCAATTTCCCTCTTTTTGATGATGACAAACTCATAATAGAAAAACCTATAAAGAGCCACATAGAACCAGACAGCGAACCAGAAAAACCTTAAGTTTCCTCCTGAATCTCTGTATTCCCCCTTAATCAGTGCAAACCACTAATGCAATTATTCTTCCCCTTTTGAGCATCATAAAAAGATCAGTAACAAGTAACTAACAAAGAAGGAAGTCTAGCTTTAAGTTAACTCATGCCACTTATGTGCACACAGTCATGATTAAAAATAGAGCATAAAAGCAAGGTATAAACAACAAAAGGGGAAAAGCTTGCATTAACATAATTTGGATTTTACAGCAGGAGCAGAGTCAGTGTTACTACCACATCCACAAATTAGAACAATCAACAAAAATACCATAATTTATCATCATAAGAACTGATAATGAGGGACTGGACCACAAACTAGATTATAGACTTGACACTGAGGGGACAATATTTAAGGAGCACTGGAAGGAGAAGGTTTGGAGGCAGAGGAAATTGTTTGGAGGACTAAATCCGTTCGAGCATTTGCTGACATTTGCTCATTGAGCAGTCTCCCTTTTAGGTCCTCCACTTGTTTCCTGAGCTCAGCATTCTTCTTTGTCAGACGAGCAACCTCTTCGCTTTGAGAGCTACTGGAACCAGGTGCCTCTTGCAGCTGACTTAACTGAGTCTAAAGGATAGCATTCCTTTCTTTCAATTCCCTTATCTTAGTAGTAGCATTGTTTTGAGCATTTATTAACTGAGATAAGGTAGAAGTGCTTGCAACCCCTCCAAATTTCTCTATACACTCACATTCTTCAAGAGTAACTTTTGAAAAAGTTTGCTTCTTGGCGCCCACTTTAACCGGTCCAAGAGGAACCTTGAAGTGCTCAAAGACCTTGGTAAGAAGGAACCCATACGGCAGCCCATGATTGCCATCTTTAAAACCTGCCACTTTATTCATGTGCTCTATCATGATCCTAGGCAGATTAATGGTAGTGCAGTCGTCCAGTGCTTCCATGAGGAACAGGTCTGCACGAGAAGTGATAGATCTTCTTTCAGCTCGACGCAGCAAGACTTTGTTTACCATCTCAAATAGCAGTTGGTATATAGGAAGGAGGGCCTTATTCTGAACCCGTTCCCCCTGCTGAACTGATGTGTCCTTCAAGATTGCGTTTCTGAAGTTTTGAGTACAAGCTCCCTGAACACTAGACACCCCTTCAGCAGGCACACTAAGAATAGACCCCAACAAGGAAGAGTCCATTACCATATCAACTCCATTCACCAAAGCACAAATGTGATCATCCTCAACCTTGAACAAGTCGGCATAAAAACTTGAACTTCCTCCTCATATACCCGAGCAGCATCACCTATGAACAAGTGTTTCCATTGTTGGAACTCATAAATCTCAACCAATTGTCTTATACGAGCCTCCTCCAAGACATCAGAGGCAAATGTGCATCCCCACAACACCTTTTGACTTCTCAATCTCTCTTTCCCAGCACTCCCCAGATCACCAACTCTGGCCGTCTTTGAGGAACCAGGTTCCTTATCAGTATCAGCCTTTCTCTTAGCAGTCTTGCGAACACTCTTCTCCTTTTTATCAGACTTTACAGATTTTTCACCTAATTCTTTCAGCACATTCTTAGTAGCAACAGCATCATCAGACTTAGTCAGACTTTTAGCAGACACAGAAGATCCCCCTTTTGGCTTGAGAAGATCATGATTTTGTGATAACTTCCTAGTCAACGTACTAGGTTCCTCCGCTTCTTCTTTATCCACATTCACAACAGGCATTATCTTTTCATTTATAACTTTGTCATGTTTCATTAATTTTCTTCTCCTTGACTTAGCTTGACTATTCTTAAGCGCAGACTCAAGAGCCTTCTTCTTTTGCAACCTTGTTGTGGGTCTCGTAGGAGTTGGCTCTTCATCAACATCTAATCTACGCCTAGGCAGACTGGCAATTGGTAAATCATCAGAATCTGCTTCACTATCCTCCTTTTGTTCTTCGGACATAGGGCTTGTCTCAGGCATAATCACACTTAGAGGCTTAACATCCAAATGATGAGAGGGAGCAGGGTCAACATAGACCTGGGGTTCCTAAGAGAGACCCTGAGTTGGATCCTCCGAAAGAGGATCAGGTCCTCCAGCAGGTTCCCCAGTAGCACCTTCCTGTGCTGAAGGTTTAACAGACACAAGCTCATTACCCTCTCCAACAGGCTCAGACTCTTCCCCCTGAGTCTTAAGACCATCCTCACTTCCTCTGACAAAAACCCCTTCATTGGCGATGGACAACATATTTTCTATGGCTTCCTTTTCTTGTAGGTCCATGGGAAACTCAGGAGAAGTAGGAGCTTTACCTGTGGACAAGGGATCAGGAGGAGTCTTTGTTGAGTCGACGATTTCATTCCCCTCATTTTGGTCTACCTTTGACCCTTCTTCTATAGGAGAACTTGAGATTTCCCGATTTTCTTCATTCTCAAAAATACTTATTTCATCCCCTTTTTCTAGCGAGGTAAGAGAAGAGCTCTGGGCAATACCTCTTTTGGGAGTTGATGCTTTGCGACTCTTTTGAGAACTGGAACTCGAATGGGTAGGAGAGTAGACGGAATATAGGGTGACTCTGTTCTAGGGTTTTGGTTATCAGTAGTGTGAGGAGGGGAGTCTGGCGTTGGTGTTTCAACTTGGGAGGACTCAGTGGGGTTGTTGCTTGGAATACTATAAATTATTTGATTTTCAATCATGGTGAGAAGAAGAGAGAGGATTTGGTAATCTGAAGAGAGAAAGAAGAGGAAATAGGTTTTGAAGTGTTGATGTGAAGAGTGTGATGACAGTGATAGATATATTTATGATGAAAGAGGGACCAAATAGAAAGGGCGGCAATTTTTAGGGAGTTGGGTCGATTAATATCGGGTGAGACGTTTGGGTTCAAAAGACCTAAAACTAAAAACTTACATGCTGATGATGTAGCACTTGTTTTAATCGTTCAGAATTGTGCATGAGAGAACAGAGAAACTACTAACCTGTGTCCTGACTGATCTTTTAACCGTAAGCTTTGCCTCTTTTACCAGTGTATACAGCCTTAACTGCTTATTTGCTCTGTAATCATCAAGCGTATCTACCTATAACGGTATGGAGATGAGTTAGACTTTGCCAGAAAACACCTTTTAGCTAAGTTTACCTGATCATTTCTTTCATAGCCAATCATTGAGGGACCGGGTTCTTAGTTGGATTTTACCAACCCCAATTCCAGGCGATTTTGCTCGAAGTATTCTCTGCTCAGGGCTTTGGTAAATATATCTGCAATTTGATCTTCAGTGCTACGGAATTGCATGCATATAAGCCATTTTTCAACATTGTCTCTGAGGAAGTGATGACGTACATCAATGTGCTTGGTCCTCTTATGTTGAACTGGATTTTTTGCCATGTTGAGTGCACTAGTATTATCACATAAGAGAGGCACACAGTCTGAGAATACTCCAAAGTCTTCCAACTGTTGCTTGATCCACAGAAGTTGAGTACAGCAAGAGGGAGCTGCTACAATTCAGCTTCTGCAGTTGAAAGTGCCATAAAGTTCTGCTTCCTTGTACCCCATGAGATTAAGCAAGAACCTAAGAAATGTTCCAATCCAGACGTGATTTTTCTGTCCACCAGATATCCTGCATAATCAGTGTCAGCATACCCAATAAGATCAAAGCTTTCACCTGAGAGATAATAGAGGACCAGATCTTGCGCTCCTTTGAGATATCTCAGTATTCTCTTAGCAGCCTTCAGATGAGATTCCTTTGGATTGGATTGAAACCTTGGACAGAGACCCACGCTGAAAATGATGACTGGTTTGCTTGCAGTGAGATACAAGAGTGACCCTATAATCCCTCTATATATGGTCTGATTTACAAGGGAACCAGGTTCATCCATGTCTAGACGGGTAGCTGGGGCAATAGGCGTGTCGATAACTTTTGATGCTTCCATATCAAACCTTTTCAGAGCTCCTTGATGTACTTCTACTGACTTATCAATGTTCCCTTCTTAGATTGTTTCACTTGAAGTCCTAGGAAAAAATTCAGTTCGCCCATCATACTCATCTCGAATTCACTTCCTATGAGTTTTGCAAATTGCAGAGAGAGTCAGCTGTGGCTCCAAAGATGATATCATCAACATACACCTGAACAATGAGCAGGTTCCTCCCTCGTTTCTTCAAAAAAAGAGTGTTGTCAATTCCTCATGCAAACCCATTTTCCAAAAGGAATTTTGACAACCTTTCATACCATGCCCTGGGAGCCTACTTTAACCCGTACAATGCCTTGTCTAGTTTGAACACATGCTCAGGATGCTCGTGACACTCAAAACCAGGAGGCTGCTTGACATAAACTTCTTCTTTCAGATAGACATTTTAAAATGCACTTTTGACATCAATTTGGAACAGTGTGAACTCCATATGAGATGCAAAGGCAATTAGGATTCTAATGGCTTCTATTCGAGCTACTGGAGCAAATGTTTTATCATAATCAATCCCTTCTTCCTGGTTGTAGCCTTGAACTACCAGCCTTGCCTTGTTTCATGTTGTATTTCCAAACTCGTCAAGTTTGTTCCTGATTACCCACCTGGTTCCGATGATGGTTCGATCTGCCGGTTGAGGAACCAGGTGCCGTACCTTATTCCTTTCAAATTAATGTAGCTCCTCTTGCATGGTTGTGATCTAGTCTGCATCTTTCAACGCTTCTTTTATATTTTTGGGCTCTATTTGGGAAAGAAATGCTGAGAAGGCAAGTGAGTGTCTTGCTTTTGATCTGGTTTGAACTCTTGAGTCAAGAGGAGTGATTATGTTGTCAAGAGGATGTGACCTTTTGTACTTCCAATTTGGTACTGAATCTCATTGGTAGAGGGACCATGTATGTCTGACTGAGGTTCTTGGGTGCTTCTTACTTCACAAAGTGGAGTTCCTTGGACTGTATCAACAACTCTATTTTCAGCTTCAGTTGTTGTAATCGGGGGACCAGGTTCCTCCCCAATGGATGTATATTTATTTGCATCATCTTCACTGGGTTCCTTGACATGGCTCATCGTGTCTGCCTTTCCATTTGCCATGTCAATTACTTTACCTGGAACATATAAGGGCTCTCCATCTGGGTCAACACATTTGTCTTTCTTAACACATTGAGTTCTTTTGTTGTACAATTTGTAAGCTTTGCTTTGAGATAAGTAACCCAGAAAAATTCCTTCATTGCTTTTGGCATCGAATTTGCCAAGAACTTCCTTTCCATTGTTGTGAACAAAGCATTTACACCCAAAAGTCCTTAGATATGTCAGCTTGGGCTTCCTTCCATTCAGTAGTTCATATGGCGTTTTGTTCATAAGGGACCTGATCGTGCACCTGTTCACCAAGTAACAAGCAGTATTGACAGCTTTTGCCCAGAAATACTTTGCGATCCCACTGTCAATTAGCATTATTCTTGCCATGTCTTCAAGAGCTCTATTCTTCCTTTCCACAACACTTTGTTGAGGTGTTCTTGGAGCTGAAAAATTGTGAGTTATGCCATTTTCAGTGCAGAACTCATCAAATATGACATTGTCAAACTCTGTCCCATGATTAGATCTAACGCAGGCTACTTTATTACCCATCTTCACTTGAATCTTTTTGACAAAGGCAACAAACTTCAAAGGTTTCATCCTTGATTTTGAGAAACAGAGTCCAGGTGAATCTGGAGTAGTCGTCCACTATAACGAAGATGTATTTCCTTCCTCCTTTGCTTGCCACCCTCATAGGTCCACATAGATCCATGTGAATAAGATCAAGTGGCCTGGAGGTTCTGACTTCCCTTTTTGGGCTTGAATTAGGATCTGAGTTGCTTCCCTTTTACACATGCATCACATACTTTGTGATCCTTGAAGCTTGACTTGGGCAGACCATGAACCAGGTCCTTCCTAACTAACTTATACAGCAGCGTGAAACTTGCATGACCTAGCCTCCTGTGCCATAATTCAACATCATCATCAACAGCACTTAGACAGCTTATATCACCATTCTTCAGAGACTCAAAATCAGCTACATAGATATTCTTGTATCTTTTTGCCACTAGCACTACCTCACCAGTTACCAGGTTTGTGACTGTATAGAGTTTTGACACAAATTCCACCTTGTTTCCGTTGTCACAAATTTGGGAAACATTTAGCAGGTTGTACTTCAACCCGTTCACGTAGTACATATTTTCAATTGAGTGAGAGAGAGACTTCCCAATCCTTCCAACTCCTAGAATGTATACTTTCTTGCCATTTCCAAAGGATACACTCCCTCCTTGCAGGGCCTTAAGTGAAAAGAAATCATTTTTACTTCCAATCATATGCTTTGAGAAGCCACTATCCATGTACCATTGTAGGCTGCTTCCTTTCACTATTCCCTGCACAAGAAGATCAGGAGTTAGCTTTAGGAACCCAAACTAATTTAGGTCCCTTGTAATGAGGAAAGGGGTAAATGAGGGATCTTAGGGTCCATGCAGGCATCATGCGTTTTTTATATGAGGGACCAGGTTCTCTACCGGTAGTTACTTTTTCAGCAAAAGATTTGTTTTTCTGCTGTGACTGAATTCTGGCCTTACAGTTTTCATTAAGGTGTCAATTGTTACCGCAGTGAGTGCAAAGCCAATTGTCAGGTACAGTAATGTACTTACTATGAGGGTTGTAGGGAATCTTTTCCCTTTGAAACCCAATACCCTGCCTGTTTCCCCATTATTGGTGTACATGGCAGTGATAGCATCAGAGGAGCAGGTCTATTTGAGTGATTTTTCAAGATCACTCTTCACTAAACCTAGTTATTCCTGAAGTTGTTTGTTTTTCTCAAGCTCAGCACACAGACTAGACTTCACTAAATTTAACTCACTTTCAAGCTTAATGTGTGCCTCGCTTGCAACTTCCTTTCCTTTTTGAGAATTTTCAGGCATACTCTCCATTTTAAGTTCCCCAATTGTTTCCTTCAAATCCATTACCACCACTAGTAGGTCATCCTCTCATTCTCAATGCTACCAACTCTCTCAATT